CTTGCTCAGGCGGGTAATACCTTGAGGCAATAGCTTCAAGTTGCAAGAAAGGAGATTCCGACTAAACATTCGGAAGACCTTAATAATAATAATAATAATAATAATAATAATTTATTATTTGTACCCCGCCCATCTGGCTGGGTCTCCCCAGCCACTCTGGGCGGCTTCCAACAAAGATGAAAAATACACTAAAATGTCACATATTAAAAACTTCCCTGAACAGGGCTGCCTTCAAATGTCTTCTGAATGTCAGGTAGTTGTTTATCGCTTTGACATCTGATGGGAGGGCATTCCACAGGGCGGGTGCCACTACCGAGAAGGCCCTCTGCCTGCTTCCCTGTAACTTGGCCTCTCGCAGTGAGGGAACTGCCAGAAGGCCCTCGGAGCTGGACCTCAGAGTCCGGGCTGGACGATGGGGGTGGAGACGCTCCTTCAGATATACTGGACCGAGGCCGTTTAGGGCTTTAAAGGTCAGCACCAACACTTTGAATTGTGCTCGGAAACGTACTGGGAGCCAATGTAGGTCTTTCAAGACCGGTGTTATATGGTCTCGGCGGCCGCTCCCAGTCACCAGTCTAGCTGCCGCATTCTGGATTAGTTGTAGTTTCCGGGTCACCTTCAAAGGTAGCCCCACGTAGAGCGCGTTGCAGTAGTCCAAGCGGGAGATAACCAGAGCATGCACCACTCTGGCGAGACAGTCTGCAAGCAGATAGGGTCTCAGCCTACGTACCAGATGGAGCTGGTAAACAGCTGCCCTGGATACAGATTTGGCCTGTGCCTCCATGGACAGCTGTGAGTCCAAAATGACTCCCAGGCACAGTTACCCCATTCAGGACCAGGGAATCCTCCACACCTGCCCGCCTCCTGTCCCCCCAAAACAGTACTTCTGTCTTGTCAGGATTCAACCTCAATCTGTTAGCCGCCATCCATCCTCCAACCGCCTCCAGACACTCACACAGGACCTTCACAGCCTTCACTGGTTCTGATTTAAAAGAGAGGTAGAGCTGGGTATCATCCGCATACTGATGAACACCCAGCCCAAACCTCCTGATGATCTCTCCCAGTGGCTGCATGTAAATGTTGAAAAGCATGGGGGAGAGGACAGAACCCTGAGGCACCCCACAAGTGAGAGCCCAAGGTCTGAACACTCATCCCCACCACCACTTTCTGAACACGGCCCAGGAGGAAGGAGCGGAACCACTGTATGACAGTGCCCCCAGCTCCCAGCCCCTCAAGACGGTCCAGAAGGATGTTATGGTCGATGGTATCAAACGCCGCTGAGAGATCCAGCAGAACTAGGAAACAGCTCTCACCTTTGTCCCTAGCCCGCCGGAGATCATCAACCAGTGCGACCAAGGCAGTTTCAGTCCCATGATGAGGCCTGAATCCCGACTGGAAGGGATCCAAATGGTCCGCTTCTTCCAGGCGTGCCTGGAGTTGTTCAGCAACCACTCGCTCAATCACCTTGCCCAAGAATGGAAGATTTGAGACTGGGCGATAATTGGCCATCGTGGCCGCATCTAAAGATGGTTTTTTAAGAAGCGGTTTAATAACCGCCTCTTTCAGCGGGTCTGGGAAGGCTCCCTCACGGAGGGAGCATTCACCACCCCACGAAGCCCATCGCCCAGTCCTTCCCGGCTAGCTTTTATTAGCCAGGATGGGCAAGGATCCAGGAGACAGGTGGTTGGCTTCACTCGTCCAAGCAGCCTGTCCACATCCTTGGAGGTAACAGGTTGGAATTGATCCCACGCAACTTGACTAGACAGGACTCTAGCACTCTCCCGCCCTGGCCCTGCTCCCACGGTGGAGTCTACTTCTTCCCGAATCTGAGCGATTTTATCTGCAAAAAACTTTGCAAAATCATTGCAGGAGATCATGTGGCCCGTACTGGGCCCAGATGTCGCAGGTGGTTCCGCTAAATTGTGAACCACCTGAAAAAGTCTCCTGCTGCTGTTTTCTACAGATACAATAGAGGCGGTGAAGAAAGTCTTCTTCGCCGTCACTATCGCCACTTGGTAGGCTCGACGTTGAGCTCTAACCTGTGTCCGGTCAGATTCGGAATGAGTTATCCGCCACCGGTGCTCTAGCCGTCTCAACAATTGTTTCATTGCCCTCAGATCCGTGGAAAACCATGGGGCTGTCCAGGCTCCATGCAATCGGAGAGGGCGCTTCGGAGCCAAACAGTCAATAGCCCTGGTTAACTCCACATTCCAGCGGGCCACCAGGGAATCGGCTGAAAGGCCATCAACATGGGATAAAGCATCCCCTACCACTCTCTGGAAACCATTTGGATCCATTAAGTGGCGGGGCGGACCATCCGAATTGGTCCCACCTCCCTGCAGAGGGGATGGGTCGCAGAGAAGTCCAGTTGCACCAGGAAGTGATCTGACCATGGCACTTCTTTCGTTTCGCTTTTACTTAGTGTCAGATCACCAACATCCATAGAGGTAAACACCAGGTCCAAGGCATGTCCGTGGCTATGGGTTGGGCCAGACTTATTCAGGGACAGCCCCATGGAGGCCATGCTTTCCACGAAGTCCCGAGCGGCCCCTTGTAAGGTCGTGTCGGCATGGATGTTAAATCCCCTAGGACAACCAAGCTAGGTGTCTCCAGGAGAACATCCGCCACAACCTGAAGCAGCTCGGGCAGGGAATCCTTGGTGCAGTGGGGAGGTCGGTACACCAAAAGGAATCCTGTACTGCCCCTATTGCCCAACTTCCAGAACATGCACTCGGAAAACTGGGTCTTCCCAATAGGACGTCTGGTGCAAACTAATGACTTCCTAAAAATCACTGCAACCCCCCCCTCCCCGCCCACATGACCTGGGTTGCTGTGCGTAAGAGAAACCTGGTGGACAAGCAGCGGCAAGGACAGGCCCATCTGCTTCATCCAACCAAGTCTCTGTCACACATGCCAGGTCAAGTCCTCCATCCATGATCAAGTCATGGATGACAGTGGTCTTATGAATCATTGACCTGGCATTGCACAGCAGCACCTTCAGGTCATGTGGGTATCCCTTGCTGATTCTAGTATCCATCCGGTCAGGACCAGACCCGGAGGCAGGGATAGTCCTCAGACAACGACTAAACCTGCCTCCTCTGTAATGACATGGTCTGGTCTTAGCGTAACTCCCCCTCCTACCCGTGATAACTGAGATCAGTTGTCCCAGTGCATCCCCCCCTGTGGAACATGCCCCAGCCATTTTGTTGGCTGGGACCCACTCCCCGGCAGCCCTGACCCCTCCCCTTAAGAACAAAATAACACCTTAAAAAAAAAACAATAAAACAATACAAACAAAAAAACAGTAAAAATTACAAAAACATAAAATCAAACAAATTCCCAGGCCCAATAAACATCCATCCCACCCCCACCCCACCCTACTTACAAAAAATTCAAAAGAATATTTTTAAAAACATTTTAAAAGCGCTCTGTACCCCTCCAGCAGTAACAGCAACTGTCCTAGTGAGGCCCGTCAAGCCCTGCCCTGGGCCAGGTGGTAAGTAGCAGGAAGGAGCAGGGCCCCCAGACACTCACACAGGAGAGTCCTCCTGGGCAGCAGAGCGCAGCAGTCCTTATGAGGCTTCAGGCCCCGCCCCGGGCCAGATGGTAAGTGGCAGGAAGGAGCAGGGCCCTCAGACACTCACACAGACACTGACAGTAAGAGCTGTTCGACAGTGGAACAGATGCCCACGAGAGGTGGTGAACTCTCCTTCCTTGGAGGTTTTTAAACAGAGGTTGGATGACCATCTGTCATGGATGCTTTAGCTGAGATTCCTGCATTGCAGGAGGTTGGACTAGATGACCCGTGAGGTCCCTTCCAACTCTAAGATTCTATGATTCAATCCCACAAATACGATGAGCCCAGACAGTTGGTGAATCGTCCAGAGATGGACACCAACAATGAGGCTACCATTCGCCTCCAAAACACAGGGGCATTCAAGGACCTCTGAAGATCTTAAGCAGGCATCCCCAATCTTCAGCCCTCCAGATGTTTTGGACTACAATTCCCATCATCCCTGACCATTGGTCCTGTTAGCTAGGGATCATGGGAGTTGTAGGCCAAAACATCTGGAGGGCCGCAGGTTGGGGGTTCCTGATCTTAAGGAAGGTTCAAGCAGGCGGTCCTTTTGATATCTGTCCCCACTTCACATGTGGTGAGAAGAAATTGGTTGGATGACTCAACTGACTTCCAGCTTGTGCCCATTTTGCCTGCCCTCATTTGCAAGCCTGTTCTGTTCTGCTTCTGTGGGCTTTTCTTCCTTTCACAACTGCACAAATATTTTGCATTTAAGTTGCATGTGTTCTTGTATACACCTTCCCCTAAGTTTGTGGACCAGCTAGGTGGCTTCTCTCCTAGCAATGGAGGAGATTTTGTTTGGTCTGTGTATATTAAAGACAACTGGCCAAATTCCCAGTTTCCTGGACAATGAGGTGGTACATACACATTCATATATATATATATTTTGTCCATTTACTTCTCCATCAAACGGCCTCAGTCCAGTATATCTGAAGGAGCGTCTCGACCCCCATCGTTCTACCCGGACACTGAGGTCCAGCACCGAGGGCCTTCCGGCAGTTCCCTCACTGTGAGAAGCCAAGTTACAGGGAACCAGGCAGAGGGCCTTCTTGGTAGTGGCACCTGCCCTGTGGAATGCCCTCCCACCAGATGTCAAAGAGAACAACAACTACTAGACTTTTAGAAGACATCTGAAGGCAGCCCTGTTTAGGGAAGCTTTTAATGTTTGATGTATTACAGTATTTTAATATTTTTCTGGCTGGGGAAGCCCAGCTAGATGGGCGGGGTATAAATAATAAATTATTATTATTATTATTATTATTATTATTATTATTATTATTATTATTATTATTCCATAATGGAACCAAATGCTGTTTATGCACTGACCAGACCCAGATCCGATTTAGCTTCCCCAAAGTGAGGGCCTCATTTACCTCTAGTTTAGACTATTACCCTGGAACTTAAAGGAAGAGAAAGACAAGTATTTGTTATGAAACCAGATTTATTAAACCTTTTTGTACAGGAATTCTCCAACATCATCATGTCGATTTTCAAATATGTACATTATTTACAAACATCCAACATAGTGTTATTAGCAGGTACCTACCAATATATACAGATTCATAGGCAAGTTTGTGGATATTTTTTTCTTTTTTAAAAAAACAACAACAACTGTATCACAGATACAAATATATTAAAACAATCACAAGAGCTTTAGTGCAATCAAGGTCCAAAATTAAAGTTTCACCTCTAATTCTCTTGATTCTATCAAGTTAGTATTGCCAGCCATTAATTCACATTTAAATGCTCTTTTGACACCTCGGGTTTTAGGACACTCACACACACCTCTACAGTCATTAAGAAAACACAAAACCAATCAGAAGATGGCAAGACATTATGTGGGAAGGTATAAACAGATCACAAGAGGACAGTGGCTCCACCCTTTTGACAAAGCTAAGCCTTAAGAAATAGTAGGATTCTTAAGCAACGTCCACATTTGGTACTTTGAATTCTGGGCTAAACAGGCATATCCAACCAGCTTTTCCCCATGAAGAATTCTGGGAACTGTAGTCCCATGAGACTAGCCCAGCAGAAATACATTTCCCAGAGTTCCTTGAAAGGTAAAGGTAGTTTGCTGGTAGCATATCCCCGACGCTGATGAATACATCAGTTTCAGATATGGGATAAAAGTGTTTTTCAAACAAAACCTGGTTGGCGTGTGTTTACACACACACACACACACCCTTGCAAGCCAGTCAACAAGAGATGTTAATCCACAGAGCTGTTTCCTAGCCTGTTGACCCACACATTTTTCCACAGGGCACACCAACCGCCTCTGAGAAAGGAGAACCAACAGTCTCCCAAATGAACAAAAGTTTCCCTCTCTAGTTCTCTGGGTGATTTCCAGCTCACCCCGGGGCAAGTACCTATTTGCACAAACCGGAGCAGTCGTCTTTGTCAGGAGGAAGTTCATTACCGCATCCAGGAAGCAAATGCTTATTCAAGTGCATTCATTATTCCACCAGAATTGGAGATACAAAAAACAACCACCACCAATGACCGCCAGTGGTACATGAACATTTAATAAGGGGAAGAGATTTCCAGAGGGAGATTACAGCCTAATGGGAAGGTGAGGACATTGTTTAGAGGCTTACCGAAATGAGGATTTGTTTTTGTTTTCCTTCTTGTGCAAAAGATTGGTGCAAGGCATCAGAGAGCAGAGCCCACACACTGCCAACACAAACGTTGTTACGGTATATGTAATAAGATCGGGCTTCTATTTGCCTCTCAGGTTCAGGTTGGGACACTCTGGGCTGGTGCTTTGGAATTCAGATAGATATACTGGGCTACTTTTGGAGAGACACCTTCACACAGGAGCGCCAGGCAAGTTCCTTCGGATCATTTGCCTCAGAAACCAAAAATGTCATGTTTTATAGCAAGGATGAGGAAGACCTGTGTCCCTTCAGATAGCTGATGGACTCCCAACTCCCACCACCCCAGGCCGGCATAGTCAATGGCCAGGAATGATGGGAATTCCAGTCCAACTGGAGGAGAACCACAGGTTTTCTCTCACCGATGGTTTAGAGCTCAGGCAGATGCAACACCAAGGCCAGAAGTAAGCTTTAAATCTGCACCCACCAAGGACCAATTCTAGCACTCAACGGAGGACACATTCATCAACCAAGTCAAGGAGATTGCTGCATCTGAGCCAGCAATGTCTCCTCCAACTGCTAGCAGTTCTTCAGAGGCTCTGGAATAAATACCTCCGGACCCGTGGGGTGGGGCTGTGTTGCTGCTGGACTACAACTCCCATCATGCTTGACCACTGGCTGATGGGAGGGCAGAATATGAAGTTCCCCTTATGCTACATAGGTACGCTTTTCACTGGAGATGCCGGGGAGCTGTTTTGAGAACGCAAACCACAATTCCTCCTTTTCTTGTCTTACGCAATGAGGCAATGCAGTCGGTTAGTTCAATGTCGGACCAGGAAGTTCCTGATCAGATGGGAAGATCAAGTCCCACTGCCAGCATCACCTAACAAGTGCACCCCATTTTATGGCTAAGACACATCTGGCAGAGGGGTTTTTTTTGGGGGGGTGGGGCTAGCTGGCCAATTCAGGTTTTCCGTAACCCTTCGTAAAGGCTTACACACCTCCTTAGAACAGGCATGGCAGAGGAGGAGGAATAGGGCCAAAGGGAGAGAATGTCAAAAGGAAACCTCACCTATAAGGAAGAAATCTGTGAACTGCTCCCCTTAAGGAAGAGTCCTAAAGTCTGCTAAAGAATTGGCTCCAAGGGAAATCGGATGTGGAAGCATTTGGAGACAGAAAGACAAGATTTGCTACCTGCACCGTCACACAAGAGACAGGGGACTCCAAGGTTGTAGGGGCTTTTGTGGCAGTTCAGGAGGCACCAACAGTCCTGATCTCATCAATCAAACAGACATTCCTGGTTTAGGCTGATAATGGGTTAGGAACGGGGTGGTCTGACGTTCAAGCCAATGGCAAAAATCCTCATTGTTTTAAGAGCCCCCGTATTCCAAAGCAAAACAATTCCGGTGCAAAGGCACCCAACCCCCTGTGCCTGTTGACCCAAGTCCACCCCAAACCATTAAAGTCCCAAGAATTCATAGAGGAGCCCAATTCATCCCACAAGATGCACGGCCAACTTCTACAGCTGCCTGATTTATCCACACCTTGGATAGCACAAAGCCGTTACAGCTCTGTCAAAAAGCCAACGAGCTACAGTTTAGGTTCAGATTTTGAATGGGGGGAAAGGAAAATTTGATAAACCAAGTAATTCCAGGTTAATCGCCTCCTGGAGGGCTGAAAAGAGTCAAATGGGTTTCAAGCCAAGCAAACTTTGAAACACAGCTAAGAAAAGGAACTGGCAAACTGGAGGCAGAAGGGGGTGATTCTCACATGTCAGGAGACGCAAGCTCAAAACCAGTTAGATAATCTTAGCTATAAAAATAGACAATCCGGTTGATTATTATTTTTTGCACCGTGACTATCACAAGCCCCCTGCCTAGCACTTCAAGAACTGTGCCTGCATTCTCTCTTACATCACCAGTGAGGAGATTCTGTAATCTAAGCCAGCCCAGAGCCCTGTCACTTTGATGGATGAGAGACAGAGCAATCCAGTTGGCCCTTCTGTAGTTTCTACAGCAATATAACCTTGCCTGCAGAACAAGGCTGTGTGCATCTGAACATGGAACCAAGAAGCTACAAGGTGTTTTGCTTTTTCTTAAAAAACCAGCCAACAAAGATTGCAAACTTCAGACTGCTTATTCCAGACAGCCCTGTATGTAAAATTCCCACTGAAGTTCAGAGCAAACTTTAAAAGTCACAGCCTAGAAGTCCCAGGCTGAGGCGCGTTTTGCAAAGGTCCATTTGCTCCAGAGTAAGTCCCACAGGGATTCAAATGGGAATTCGTGAAGCAGGCGACGGATGCCAATCTCCTACTTGCAAGGGTACTACTGTCCTGACCACAGCTCGATTTTTGGGAAGGACCACAGAAAACGAAGAGAGAGGGTGGAAATTAAAGACTGCACGAGAGTGTGAGAGGCTTCTTGTCCCCCGAGGCAAAAACCCAGAGCTAGCAAAAGAAGGAGCTAATGTCATCATCCTCGCTGGATTTCTCCGGAACAACCTGATCAGAGGCTCTCATGTCCTGGTTGGCATAACCTGATTCCAAAACAGAGTCAAACCAAGGATGGAGCAAGATTTCTGGAGCTGCGAGTCTCTCGGAGGGCTCCCTCCTGAGCAGGCTTCGGATAAGGCAACGGGCTTTGGGAGAGACGTGGTCCGGAATGCAGAACTGTCCGCGCCGGATTTTAGAAAAGAGGGCAGTAGGGTCCGAGTCATGGAAGGGGTAACGTCCCACGAGGAGGGTGTACAACATGACTCCTAAGCTCCAGACGTCAGCCGACTTGCCGGAATAAGTCCCCATCGTGTTAAGGATCTCTGGGCTGACGTAGGCTGGGCAGCCGTGTTTGTCCGACAAGGCATCGTCCTCCCCTTTGATGATGTGCGTGTCCTCCAAGCTTTCGAGCCGGAGCTGTGTCCTGGAGAAGAGGAAAGAGGAAAGGCATCAGTTACCAAGCAATGCCAGGAACTGGCACAGAGGAGGAAAGTTGACCGGGGGAAGGGGGCAGGAATGGTATCATTGCATGCAGGAGCTCCCAGTTTCAATCCCAGAGATGTCCCGGTAGGGCTGGGACAGTCTGCTGTCTGAAACCTTGGACAGCTGCTTCCAGTCAGTATAGGCAATACTGAAGGGACTTTTAATCATATGTGGTGGGAATGTAGAGAAGTTAAAAAATTTTGGGAAATGATATATAATGAATTGAAAAAAGTGTTTAAAATGACATTTGTAAAAAAATCAGAAGCATTTTTGTTAGGGATTGTAGGACAAGACCTGCCAAGAAAAACAAAGAATTTATTTATGTATGCTACAACAGCGGCAAGAGTCTTGATAGCACAAGGATGGAAGGATGAGGAAATCCCAACGAAAGAACAGTGGCCAGAAAAATGGATAAGCTATGCAGAGTTGGCTAAATTGACATACAAACTTCCCTAGTCATTTTTCCACACGAGGGCGAGCAAAATGGGTCACAAGACAAGGACAGAAACACAAGGAAGGCACGCCAACACATAATTCCAACAAAGGGTCCAGCAATGGTGGTGGACTCCTTCATTGTATGTTTTTAAGCAGAGGTTGGATATGGAGGTTTCAGCTGAGATTCCTGCATTGCTCTACGCTTCTCTGAACCTATCAGATCTCAAAATACGTGAACCAGAGTCAGGTCAGGGATGATAACATAACCAAGAGCCAGTTCCTCAAGAATGGCAAGTGTAGGGAATTGGCAAACAGTTTCGTCACATCCTGGAGATAAGAACCGCCCCCTTTCCAAATGACAGCAACTATGTTGTATCCTGAGACACGGGTGGCGCTGTGGGTTAAACCACAGAGCCTAGGGCTTGCCGATTGGAAGGTCGGCGGTTTGAATCCCCACGACGGGGTGAGCTCCAGTTGCTCGGTCCCTGCTCCTGCCAACCTAGCAGTTTGAAAGCACATCAAGTGCAAGTAGATAAATAGGTACCACTCTGGAGGGAAGGTAAACAGTGTTTCTGTGCGCTGCTCTGGTTCGCCAGAAGTGGCTTAGTCATGCTGGCCACATGACCCGGAAGCTGTATGCTGGCTCCCTTGGCCAATAAAGCGAGATGAGCGCCGCAACCCCAGAGTTGGCCACGACTGGACCTAATGGTCGGGGTCCCTTTGCCTTTATGTTGTATCCACGACCTGTACCAAAAATGGAAGACATGCTCAAAACTTTTAGATTAAGGATCTAATTCTGTGTTGTCAAGGCTGCCTCGAGTCTCAGCTCACAAAAGACCAACGCCTATGTCTTCTTATATACAAAGGTGTTTATTGCAGTTCATTGTTTGCTTGACATCCTAGGCGCGCAGCCTTACGTCTCTTACGCTTAGACCGCTGAAGTCCCCTCTGAATCCGTCCCTCCCCTGCACCAATTTAAGATGCTTGTGCTGCTCCACCTCTTTCTCTCTTTCCTTTTCCGCAGGGTCCTTCTGCCCGCTGGGGTTTCGCCCCTCGTGGATTCCTCTGACGCGGAATCCCCAGACTGCTCTTGCCCCCTCCTGCGGGCTTTGGGACCTGGCCCCTCCTCCGGGCTCCCTGTACTTCCGCGCGCCTCTACATTTGAACTAGGCGCGCGCGCCAAACCTCTAACTTTCCTTTTGACAGTTACACTACTCCCTTCACTGCTTCCCTCCCCTTCCGGGAGGGCGGCTTGCTCTGACCTCCCTCCTTTCTCTGCTGCCGGAGCTGCTTCCTCTGACACACTGGAAACTCCACCCCCTTCGCTGCACTCTGGTGGGGAGGCTGGTCCTGACGCCCAGCTGCCACTTTGGGATCCTCCGCTGGCCCCCTGCTCCTGACACGTCCCCCCTGGCCTTGACCACCGGCGCCCCCTTCTGGGAATCCTCTGATTCGCTGGAAAGACTCATGGAATCTCTTGAGTCATTGTCATCCTCTTCCTCGCTGGCTTGGAATTCATCCCCATCGCTCTCCATCTCCTGCCTACCCTGTGCCTCTCTCCCTGAACCCCTGACATGTGTATTCAGAATTAAGTCCTATGGAACTCAGTGAGGGTTACTCCCAGGGTAAGTGAGCTTAGGTTTGCAGTCTCCACCGATCAGAAACCATTACACACAAACCGCTGCGGAAAGGTTTCTGCATGTTGTGCTCATCATCGGTTGACTGTAGCATCAAGAAGTGACTCAGGCTATGATGAATGGGACGCCTCAGATCACAGACCACAGCCAGAACTTTCATGATCACCCACCAAATGAAAATACAAAGGCAAGGCTTTTTGACTGAGACAAGTCACACGCTCCGGGAGAGGAGAGATTATTTATGCACGTGAAGGAATGAGCTGGACGGGAATATAGTTCCTGATGCCAACACCATGAGACAACTGAGCCACCCAGGACCACAATCTCACTTCAACGGTGCAGGGCAATTTCCCTGGGCAAATAATATATCAGAGAAACACACTGCGAAGACACTCACAGACATCACTCTGTGACTGCCACAACCACTGATGGTATGCGTGTCTGAATGGACCACCGCCAATGCAGACCCGATGCTCCCATCAAGTCTATCCACACATGTAGCTGTCGCCTAGATGCCAGCACTCAGGTGACACAGCTTGGTAGGTTAAGCATGAGACTCGTGCTCTCGGCGTTGTGGGTTCGAGCAAAAGGTTCCTGCATTGCAGGGGGTTGGACCAGACGCCCCACATGGCCCCTTCTGAATCTCCGATTCTACAAGAGCATTGCTCGATTGCTCCGGCCTTGAGGATGTCAGTGCGACGATGCCAAATTCACAGGGCAGAGATCCTGGGCTGAAGCCAGCTGAGCCCCAGTGACGTCAAGCCTTAACTGGCTCGTGGATCGCAGCCAAAACCCACATCCCTTTTGTTCCTGATATAGTCACAACACTTTGGGCTCAGATATGCATTGACACCACACACACAAACACACACACATACAAACAGGCCTTGCAGGGTATATACCCTGCTTTTAAGCAAACACCCCATTTCCCAGAGCTTTTAACCATTTAAGTTGCCGTTTCTTACGTTAAGTTGGTTAGATATTGTCTGGCTCCTGCAGGGCTCCCTGCTCAGTAAGCCTTCCTTACAGTTTTGTTGGCCTGTAAAATGCATTGATTTGCTCGCTGTCCTCAGGGTGACCTTCCTGTCCTCTAATGCAAAAGATTCCTCTCCCCTCCCTCCCCACCGGCCACAACTCCACCGGATGGTTTTCTAAGCGGAAAATATGACTCAACCTACCCTCGCCTGCCCTCCCACTGCCTGGCGGAGCATCCAAACTCTGCACCTGTGCTTGCCAGGCTAATTGCTTAACCCTCTGATTACCAAACAGGGAAGCACATGATACGCTCCCTGCGCAATGCTTCGGTTTCCAAATTCGCAGCACTGGATGCAAGCTGCTATTTTGGCTAGCGGTTGTTGGGGGGGTTGCTTTTCTCTACAGGACAACTTGTCCTTTCTGCTGCAAAACTATAAATCTGCAAGCAGGGAAGGCAGAGAATTATTTGGCTACAAGGCTCCAGTCTCGATTTTTGCTCACCAGGGCGATGGTTCGTACCTGATGACTTGGGAGCAGAATGCGTGACCCAGTTTCACTTTTTGTGGGGGTAGGTGGGCAAGGGGACACACTGGGTGAAAATGCAGGCTCCGTTTGTGGCGTTTTGATCATTCCAGCCACCCCATAATGCCCACGCTCAGCACTTCCACGAATAAGAAGATCAGAGCGGGGTTTTTTTTAAAAAAAGAAAGAAAATCCACTGTCTGCTCTGCAGTTGATTGGCACACAGGGCACACAATTTGAACTCGCTTCCTAGGGTGGATGCCAAGCCCTGCAATAGATTACTAGGTCCTTTCGACCCCTCAAAAAAAAAAATATTACACTCACTACTCATCTTTTTTTAAAAAAGCAGAAAACAAATTTGTGTTGTTGCACCTGCCTATCCCTCCATGCCCATTGACGTTTTTAAAGTAAAAACTAAACCAAATAGCATTAATAAATAATAATAATAACAATAATAATAATCTGGGTGGCTTCCAACAGGTATAAAAACTTAACAATTATCTCTCAAAGTTCCTCGCTCTGCAATTTCACGCCCCCTCCCTCCAAGCAAACTAAACTAGATTGCGTGCAGAAGCCCCCAAATTCAATTCCCAGCATCTCCAGTTAGCGTGCCGGGGGGGGGGGTGACACCCTGCCTGAAATCCTGGACAGCTGCTGCCAGTCAGTGTAGACAGTACTGAGTATAAGTCAGCTTCCTGTTTTCCTAGATTTACTGTGGTGTTTATTGTGGGGCGGCTGTACGAAATCAGAACTTATGAAATGCAACCGTCACCTCTTTCGTACAGTGGCTGGAAGCCTCCAAAATGGCTTGAAGCTCGCTCTCTGCGTCTCAAGCCTCCTTTAGATGGCCTTGCACACAGGAAAGACGTGATATTCTGTACCAAGAAAGCAATGTGGGCAAATTGAATGCAAAAAGGAGCCTTGCAAACAAGCTGTCCTTCAGGAACTGCTCTGCCAGGCTGAACTGAAACTTCCTTATTCCTGTCCAGGAGCAGATTCTCCCATCTGTTTGGAGGTTGCTGTGTGGGGTGCCTTGAAGCAGATCAGAGAATCCAGGGGCTATATGTTTGAAACGCAGGAGAACCAAAACCTACGGGAGCTTAACAGCCACCTTTACGAAGAAGAAGAAACCATCGGAATGATGCACAGTCATAAACATCACCCCAACGCAGGCTGCAATTTGCACACTCCCTAAGATCCAACAGCTGACTATGGCATCACTTCAAAGTAATGCGTGGATTGCAGCCCTCAAGTGTGAAACTGTTTCTGCTGATGTCAAAAGCAGAACTCCCACAGAGTTCAAATGGGCTGGAGTTTCACACCTATTCCGGGCTGCCCACATAACACCCAACTGCAGGTTATCTTCAAAGAGTTTTGCAAAACCTGCCAACACTTTAGCAGCAGCAGCATCCTCAGCTCCTCATTTTCAGATGCATGCATATATATTTATAACACACACAGAGAGAGATGAGGCTCCATGCTTCTTGCATCACCTTTAAACAGTCGACCCCTTCCTACGGCCTGTATATACACAGCAAAAACTGCAGCAATCCTGTGGACAACACTACGCCAGGTCTGCAAAAAGAAGCAGAGCAAAGCAACCAGGTACGGATTGCAAGGCTGAGCAAGATGTGCTCTCTCTCCAGCGTTAGAAATTCGCCAGGCGCATTTTGCACCTGGCTATCGGCCACTCGCCACCAAGTGAAGGCACCCAACATCTCCTCCATCTGGAAGTGCGTGCCTGGGGATCCTTGGATCCTGACCGTTTTTCGCGCGCAAATGACACATCCTGCAGATTCCTACCCCTTCTAATTTTATCTGCACAATCAGAATGAATTTCAGGAGCTGAAAAGTCATGTTGAAAAATACAACGTTTGAGCCGCCTGGTCCCAAAATGGCAACTGGGCATTGTGTTTTGGCAACTATAACCCTGGTTTAAGCAGCTATTTGGCGCCTAGCTTATATATCAGTGTTTCTATAAAGATGATGGACTTTTCGGAGCGAGCCAACCTCTCCGGAAGAGTCTGCGACCAGAAGGAGAAGGAGTACCAGGAGGAATGGAGGAAATTCAAAGACTATTTAGTTAAATATGCTAAGATAATTTAAATAGAAATACATGCAAACACCAGATAGGCTCAGGATTTAAATATGTGATGTTACAGAATAACATGTTCAACTTTAATATGAAAAGAAAGAAAGACGTTAATTGATTAAGTAAATTTTATGAGAAATTTGTTTTGGAAAACTGTTACAATGATATATATTGAAACTCAGCCAGGGGGATTTGAGGAAGTCACGTAACAATGTTATTAAGAGTGGAATAATTACAGTTCGTATTTATGTTTGTTTGTTTATAAATTTTGGAAAATCAATAATTTTTTTGATACACACACACACACACATATATATATATATATATATATATATATATATATATATATCGGAGTTTCTAATACTGGTTCTCCCCCACCGACCCCATACAAATCCCTCCCATATATGCAGGTGTGGCTGAGCATATGTACAGCTATGGGTAATTGGACAATCATGGGACTGAGAGTAATCTCAGCCGTGTCTCTGCTTCCAGTAGGTTGTGTCACGTGACAACGGCAATAACACAACCCCTGGCCAACCCTGGATAGTTAACTACATGCCTGTTCAAATGCAATGGAAATCCATGCTCTAGGGAAAGGAGGGTGGGGGGAGGAATCTGTGTTGGACTGAGGGCACAGGAGTTGCACTTTGATGAGGCTCACCCCCAACCATTGTTCTGAGAGCGCCAGCGTTGTGTCAGCATCAGACCCATGGGATCTGGACTGCATAGCTTGACTCTTGAATATCAGTACTGCCTTGAACAATTCATCGCAAGTACACACTGTGCCAACTGCAACCCATTTCTCTCGCTTCACCACCTCCAGCCAACACAATTCTCATTCACTGTCCGTGCCCAAATGTAAACCATTTGAATATGCAATACTTAGGAATTACACCAAGGTGTAATTTGCTGCCGTCCTGCCAGACACCTTGCCCTGTAAATTCAATGAGACCTGGAGTAACACATGACCCAGCGCAACCCACAAACCAGCTGAGCCAGTCTCCGCGCACCTGAACCAATGACCCACCCGGATCCTCAACAAAATCAAGACAAAGCTTTTCGGATTCTACACGGTTTAAGTCCAGCTGAGTTCAGTGGAGCTCTCGGTTATGGGTCGAACTTGAGAAAGCACCCTCTCAGTCCTGATCAGTATTCCTTTGCTTGCAAAGGAAGCAGTTTAGGAGCAACTTCACAGATGGAAACCTCCCTACAAAGGGGTGCCACGAGGTAATGCATCGTCCACAAACACCATGCAAGATTTAATTTCATCGCAGGCATGCAGATTGGGAAATCAGGATTTGGCAAAGAAATCCCCGACTTCGGTACGTGCCATCTGCACACATGATGGAATGTATGTTTTCTCCCACACCTAAATAAAATTGTCGGAAGCTTGGCGGTCCCCATCTAAAGCTGGAAGACTTGACGCACTACTCTGGCAGATGGATAGCTCAGCTGGTTAGAGCATGGTGCTGATGATGTCAAGGTTGCAAGTTGGATCCCCCCATGAGATACTTGCCTATTCCTGCATTGTAGGCAGGAGTTAGATCAGGCATGGCCAAACCTGGCCCTCCAGATGTTTTGGGACCACAACTCCCACCATCCCTAGCTAAGAGGACCAGTGGTCAGGGATGATGAGAATTGTAGTCCCAAAACATCTGGAGGACCAAGTTTGGCCATGCCTGGACTAGATGATCCCTCCCAACTCTACAATTCCACGATTTCCCTGGACGGCAGGATGTAGCACAAATAACAAATTCATTGAGTTACGGTAAAGAACAGCCCCTAAGAGGCCAAGATCCAAAGAACAACTCAGTTAGCCCACTGCACACAGTAACTGTCTGGGGCGTCAATTTGCTTTAGCTGCTGAGCGTAGAATCAAAATCATACTAGGCAGACATACAGTAAAATAATACTCTGGATCCCTTAACAGAAACAAGACAGATGTTTATATAACATAACTAATGTGGTGCAAAGGCAAAGAAGGTGCGCTTTGAACCAGGAAGTCCAAAGTTCAGATCTCTTGACTGTCGTATACACAAATCAACTGGCTTGAGTATGCTCCCGTTTTTATTTTGGGTATAAAACTACAGGGTTGTTGCACAGATTAATGTGATAGTGACACTTGCAGCAGCCAATGTGGTGGCCTCTGTATGTTGCCAGGCAACAACTGCCATCACTCCGGATCATCAGGCTCCCCGGCTGGGACAGATGGAAGCGGGGATTCCCACAACACCTGATGTTTCTTATTATAAAGGAAGCACTCTAAGACATTGTGCACACAAAGATGTATAGCGAAAAAGAGAATACGATGGTGGAACCTACACACATATAAAAAACCGCATGAAAACGCTTTATTTTGAAACGTTTTTTAAAATACATCCAATTCTGCATAGCTCACTTTCACCATCTAGTGTCACCTTTGTATATTGCAGTTTGCAATGCCTTTAAAACGTTTCACTTGCAGTTGTGTAGCTGAGTCCTACGACGACTTGGCCGCCACCAAAACTACCTTCAGCTCAATAGACCAGTCAAACCTCCTATCCTAAAGAGGCTTCTATGCCAATACAGGTACGCAACTTGCAGCCAGTGGGTCAAACCTGGCCTTGCAACCACCAGCTACAGAGCAGAGGGGTGCGAATACAGAGAATGCAGGAATCTGGCATATGTTTGACGAGTGAGGCATCTGATCCTCCTAGCTCAGTACTGACAAGCAACGGGTTTCCAAGCGAGGGATGCCCCCAGCAACACCTTGAGACGCTGGGTCTTGAACCTGGGACCTTCTGCATGCAAAGCAAATGTTCTACCACCAAGGAATGCCCCTTCCCCCGCAAAGCCCTGGGGGGAAAGTCGTGGCTTTTTTGCCCTCCACCCAAGCTAAGCTGAAGAAAGAGCTCTCTTCAGAGCGTATGGGGAACTTTAAGACAACCACGAACCCCTTGCTCACCTTTCTTCACTAGAAAACACGAATTTCCTGAGTTTGAGGTCCCCCAGCACAATGGCGGACTGGTGGCAGTGGGCAACCGCCGAGACGATTTGCTTGAAGAGCCTGGCCGCCTCCTGCTCCGGAAGACGCTTGCAGCTCCTGACGTAGGAATGCATATCGCCAAAGTCCTTATCGAAGAAGACGTAGGCTTTCGTCTCCCCGAGAATCACTTCCACGATCCCGGTGATGTTTCTGTGCGACGGCAGCTGGATGTAAGGTCGGATCTTGTCCTGGTAGTGTTTGAGGGGGAAGACCTGGAAAAAGAGGGCCAAGGGGAGAGCTGTGGTTAGAGAACGCGGATTTGCCAAAGGGGTTTTCATACCAAGAAAATCTAAGCGGATGGGCATAGCTTGAAACATTCATCGCCTTCAAGCAGCAGTGGAAAACTTGCAGCCTTCCAGGTGTTGTGGGACTACAACTCCCATCCTCCTTGACTGCTGGCCATGGCTGATGGGAGTTGTAGTTCAGCAACCTCGGGAGGGCCAAAGGTTCCCCTCTCCCTGTTTTAAAGCATTAGAAATCAAAGAGGGAACAGGGAGCATAAATTGCAGAGAAGGAGGAATGATATGCTGTTTAAAAGGAGCAGAGAACGGGAAGTTGGGAGGGTGATTTTTTTTAAAAAAAAAGAATTACACATTTTCTTAATGGTGTCTGTTGAGATAAATGGATTTCAATGAAATGTATTTAGAATGCACAAGGGTTTGCGTGCTGATAAATTCATGGACCATGGCATGCATATCAACAACCACCAGCCAGAAGAACTGGAGAGCTTCCACTTGGGAGTGGCCGTATATCTGGAATTGTTACTGGAAAGAGGTGTGCCCAGCCAGAGACATCTGGTTGGCTGCTGATGGAATCAGAAGGCTGAACTCATCTAGACCAGGGTTTCCTAAACTTGGGTCCTCCTGCTGTTTTTGGACTACAATTCCCACCATCCCTGACCACTGGTCCTGCTAGCTAGGGATGATGGGAGTTGTAGTCCAAAGCCAGTTGGAAACTCAAGTTTGGGGAAACCCACAAAGTAGTATTATCCCCAGACCCAAGGCATTTGCATAGCCACACCCCTTTCTGTCCCACGCCAGCTTGAAACGCCGGCCAATTCCTAGTTCTGCACACTCACAATTACTGAAGAGAAAGGAAACCCCATTTTCAGCACCAGCACCAAGCCGGGCACCCTGCCAGAAACCTCCTGAAAGCAAAGCGCCCAAGTTACGTGTGAGCTCAGTTCCTGAGGCTTCTCTGCCAGCCCTGAAAAAGTACCTCTGGGTATGCAGTGGGAAAGAGAGAGAGAGAAAGAGAGGAGCATTTAAAACCCTCCACCCTCCAATCTGTCTGCGGTGATTCAGACAAAGGCGATGGCGACCGAGCTCCCATTTCGGAGCATGCCAAACTCTGAGCAAGGGAAGGAGAGGATTAAAAGCCTCTCTCATGCTTTATTCACAGATGTTTTGCAAGACTTTGGGCATGTTCTCCGGGTGACCTGCAAGGGCTCTGCTGGGTTACTCACATCCTAGGCCTGACTGGAAACTGTGACGTACACACAGTGTCATCAGTCCAGTCCAGGCAACCCGGCAAGAGACTCCTCACCGTGGGAGCCCCATCGTCCTCTCCTCCCTGCCCAACTTAACTCCCTGTCCCCAGCTCGCTCCATGTCATTTCAGCTGTCTCCAGTTACTGCAGATGACAAGTGTACGGAAAGTTAAGTCACTGAATCAGTTGGAAGGGGTAATCTGGTCCAAGCCCCTGCAATGCAGGAATCTCAACTAAAGCATCCATCAGTGGCTATTGGCTCTGATGGCTGCATTATTGCTCTAGTATCAGAGGTGTTTATGCCAGGCTGCATACAGATCACACATTTAAAGCACATTCTTTCCCTCAAATTACAGTGGTGCCTCGCAAGACGAAAAGAATCCGTTCTGTGAGTCTCTTCGTCTAGCGGTTTTTTCGTCTTGCGAAGCAAGCCCATTGACGGATTAGCGCTATTAGCGGCTTATCGGCTTAGCGGATAAGCGGCTTAGAAAAAGGGGGGGAAAGGGGGGAAAAACCGCAGGAACTCGCAAGACATTTTCGTCTTGCGAAGCAAGCCCATAGGGAGATTCGTTTTGCGAAGCACCTCCAAAACGGGAAAACTCTTTCGTCTAGCGAGTTTTCCGTCTTGCGAGGCATTCGTCTTGCGGGGCACCACTGTATTCTAGGTACTGCGGCTTAGCTTCCACTGAGCTACAATTCGCAGCAATCCTTAAACCGGGGAGTCCAGTCACAACCAGCCTACCAATGGCCTGGTTGAGCTATTCCATTGGAAAGATATTCCCTGCTTGGGGGAGATCTGTGGGGCTGCTTGCAAAGCTCAATTAAAAGATCCTTGCAGCCCGACCTCCTGGGTGCTTTGACAAGCAGAAATAGGTCAGAACTGCTACGATAAAGTAAACCAAGGAGCAGCAAACTAAGCCGTGTCGCTACTACTTTGGCATGCAATATCCACTGAAACCTTTGGCACATTTTCTCTGTCCCCTGCCGCTTAACAAAGCCTAAATAGGGGTAAGTGAAATACATGATTATTCTCCCCATGTTAATTCCTGCCTCCTTCCCTCCCCCACTTCCGTCATCTGCCCTGTACCGAATCTTGTCCTTTCATATTTTCTAAAATCTGTCGAAGAGACCTGTGTAACTCAAAAGCTTGCCTCCCAGTTTGAAGATGAAATAAAACTCATCTCGCTTGTTCCAGGCTATGCAACTATTAAGTGCTGCAATCATCCAAGGACTTGCTCCAGAACCATCTCATTTGTTTTAATGGGTTTGCTGCAGAGCGAGCAAGTGCAGGAAGGCCGTCCAGGTCTCCACAACTGCACCTCCTATGAGAGAGCCCGCAAACAGCAGGTGGCAGCAGTAAACCCCATCTCTCCAGCTACAGCCCTGCTCAAAGAGAGACTGGGGAAATATTCAAGGACAGTGTGAGTGTGCGCGTTTTATTTAAAGAGCTGAGGACACCTCATGGAAAACTTGGAAAGCTCTGCTAGTCTCAGCCAATTCCTGCTTGCGTACTATTCTGCAGGAGGGAAGCGGAAAACAGAGGAGGATGACGGAGGAGAAACTTAACCCTTCTTTGTCAAGTGGGGGGAATCTTTCCAGATGGCTTCCAACCCGCCCCCCCCCCAAAAAAAAACCCGAACGCGGAGAAATCCAGCCCTGGTGTCTGCACGGATCTCCACAAAAAGAACACAATCTCCTCTGCAAGCCTAAGGTTGCAAAGTTCTGCCGGCTCAGTGCAGCCCCGACCTAATTCGTCTACATCATGTTTTGCAGATATTTGCCTGCTTCATCACATAAATCCAGCGCCCACTACGATCTTATTTCCCTTCACAAGCCCATTCTTACACGCGTTTACTCGGAAAAGAAGCCCAAACCACGCTCAATGGCACTGACTCGGGAGAAAGCGCGTCTAGGCATCCACATCCTTTCGGATCACGGGAATTCCAGGAACGTGTGGAGCCTATGAGCTTGCCAGTGGGTCACCAATCCGTGTTGTTTCAAATTCTGCCCCCAACCTTCCACCTCGCGCACAAGAGTCCCTATCCACGCGCCACTTAAACCCGAGATTCTGATTCAGAAGACCCGATTCGGCTCGCGTGTGAAAACACCGGCTCCTCAAGGTAGCCAAGTTCCACTCAAGTTTACTCAATGGAGCTTGCTTCCTTCCTTCCGAGCGCAATCGCCGACGGCGCGGCCGAGGCTGGCCGGTCCCCGTGCTTTCCAAGGCGCAGAGGGGGCTCCCCCCAAACACGACGAAAGGGTCGGACGCCCGTCCGATGAGTCCCCGGCGGCGCTTACCTTGCAGCGCAGCTCCCGTCCGGTGTTGATGTCGAGCGCCCTGGAGACGTGATCCCGGTCGGGCAGGGGCAACAAGAGGTAACCGGCGACCAGGCTGGGGCCCTGCGCGCTGCCGTTCCCTCCGGGGGTGCCCGCAACCGAGCCGCCACCTCCGGGGGCCGGAGAGACCGGCCCGCAAGGCGATCCGGGCGCGCTGAAGCAATCGTGGGGCGCCGCCGCGCTGGAGCAGTCGACGGCGAGGCGAGCGCACTTGGCGGCGGGCGGCGCGTCCTCGGCGCCGTCGTGCAGCAGGAGCCGCTTGGCGGGCGCGCACCGGCAGCGAGGGCCTCCCGCGCCGGCTGCCGGCGGGTGCAGGAGCACGGCGGGGCTGCGGGGCTCGAGCTGGCGGCTCATGGAGCTGGCGGGCGGCGGCGATCCGAGCGCGGTGTGGCGCGCGAAGCCGGGAATAAGGCGGCCAAGGAAAGCGGCTCCGGCTGCTGCTGCCCAATTAATTGTCCTTCTGCGGCTGATTCAGGCGACCTCCTCCGCTCCGAGGGAAGCAGCGCTCCCGGCCGAGGCTTGTGCAATGCCGTCCAGCAGCCTGGCGCGCATCCCCTCCTGCTCCCTCGACGGAGAGCGCCCGGCCGCAAGTGCAGGCGCGCCCCTCCGCTCACCATCTGCCGGCAGCGCGGCCAAACTCCCGGGAGCTCATCAAAGTTCCTCGTGACGCAAGGGGAAGCGGGCGGGGCCTCGGGGAGCCCGGCCTCCCATTGGCGGCCTCGGCCCCATTCAGCACGGCTGCAGCCGACGGAGCGAGTAAAAAAGGGAAGAGAGCCGAGCGATCTCCAGCCAAGCAATGTGAAGAACCCGCGAGGAGAGAGGGAGCGCCTTTGTCACTCGCCTGGGGCGCACCGGGGCGCTTCAGTACGGCGCGGGGTGGAGGTTAGAGCCCTGGGCTGGGAGATCGGGGTTCAAGTCCCCCCCGATCAAGCTGGGAAAAGTTGGAGTGCAGTGGAAGAAACGCTCAAAGGCAGCAGCCTTCCCCGACGTTGCATTCGGGCCCCGAGTGCGACTTGCAATGGGTGCGAGAAGCCGCCGGCTGCTCTGGAGGGGAAGTCTCGTCAGTCTCGTGTCGTCATCCCACCACGGCCACCCATTCCCCCCACGTTTTCCCAAGCTTAAATTCAGTTCTCCACATTCAGCCATGAATAATAAAAAGGGAGAACTGCAAAGTTGGAAGGGAAACCCGAAAAAACATCTCCAGTCCAAACCCCTGCAATGCAGGAATAAGCGCAGGGAATCGAACCTGCAACCTTGGCGTCATCAGCACCACACTCTTAACCAACTGAGCTATCCAGATGGACATTTGCACATCACTTTGGGAATTCGTTTTATTCAAAAAAGCCCTTATGAAAACGCACCAGCATTTTAGTGCAAAATTTATCCATTTTTGCATGCGATTTTGCCCCATAGGCAGATTACTTTTGCAAGCAATTCCCCCGTTTTTGCACGTCATTTTCACCTCTATATGCATCCCTATGCATCGTTTACCTAGCAATATGCATTTTCCTACAGATTCCCTGGTTGGAGCCTTTTGCATAGCAAAATCTGGAGAAATGCAAAATTTGCTGCAGTTCGGTTTTTGAGAATTCCCTCAGCTCAACAGCGTTCGTCCCATGTGACTTAAAACTGCAACCATTCCTTGCAAATAGTACAAACTGGATGCGCTGAAATGATTTGTTGATTTGGACAACATCTATAACCATTCTTCAGACAAACCACCAGCTGGAGAAAAGCAGCCAGGACCAACATATATTGTCTAGAGATGGTTCAGGCATTCCAGCCACCACAGGAAGAGGAAAATACTCAATGTGCTATTATTTACACACACAAACCTGCAATATCGAGCCTTGAATAGTAAGCAATTTGTAGGGCAGATCATCCGCTAAGTGCCAGATGCAATCAGTACCATCTGCTAATTCTAGAGGCAAATTTACTGCTTGAGGTCACCATCCGCAGAATCATATGTTCCAGGAATACAGGTACTTTTAGAGATCTCCAAAGAGATATGCAAACCGCAAGGCCAGTGGCCAGCTTGCCATGAGCTACTTTCAGTGTATTTTAAGAAGCACATGCAATGCCTTGTGCTGGATGACTCATAGCATATCAGTCCCATTAATGCATCTGAACACTAAAAACAAGAACTGCATTTGTTCAAGGAGGATATCCTGGGGGTTCCATTTGCTGCTTCCCTACATGATGACACCAGGAAAAGGTTCTGCAAATGCTTTCTCAGCCACTCGCCTTTTCTTTCAAAGTGCATCATTTCTGGGTCTTCCAGCCTCGTCGTTCAGCGACTACATAGGCGGCTCAGTTGGTACAGTGTGAGACTCTTAATACTCAGGGTTGTGGGTTCGAGCCCTACGCTGGGCAAAAAGGTTCCTGCGTTGCAGGGGGTTGGACTAGATGACCCTGAGGACCCCAACCAACTAGAATTCTGTGGTTCTAACATGCATAGGGAATTTTTCAAATGTTTGGTGTTTTACTGTGCTTAATGTTGTTCATTTGTTGGAAGCCTCCCAGAGTGGCTGGGGGCAAGCCAGCCAGATGGGCGACATATAAGTAAATAATAGTAATAATTACTGTTTAGCAACTGTCTACACAGACTGGCAACAACTCTCCAGAATTTCAAGTGGGACTTGGGAGATGCCGGAATTTGAACCTGGGACCTTCTGCATGCAAAGCAGATTCTCTGCACTGTTACAGGGGTCGACATTAGGGCAGGGCTGCAGAAACTGTGGACCTCCAGATGTGGGTGAACTATAATTCTCACTACCCCTGACCTGGCTGGGGCTGGTGAGAGTTGGTGGTGTACAGGAACCTCTGCAGGTCTGCCAATTACTGAGGCCTGCACTGGGGCCAAGATCTCTCACCAAAGTGGTCATCCAGTATCTGAAGTGTACCACTGTGGTCTAAACCACTGAGCCTCTTGGGCTTGCCGATCGGAAGGTCAGTGGTTTGAATCCCCATGACGGGGTGAGCGCTGTCCGTTGCTCTGTCCCAGCTCCTGCCAACCTAGCAGTTCAAAAGCACGCCAGTGCAAGTAGATAAATAGGTACCGCTCCAGCGGGAGGGTAAACGGTATTTCCATGCACTCTGGTTTCTGTCATGCTGTCCCATTGCGCCAGAAGCGGTTTAGTCCTGCTGGCTACATGACCCAGAAAGCTGTCTGTGGACAAACGCTGGCTCCCTCGGCCTGAAAGTGAGAGGAGTGCTGCAACCCCTTAGTTGCCTTTGGCTGGACTTAACCATCCAGGGGTCCTTTACCTTTTTTGTACCACTTCAAACGGCAAGCTCAGACTCACTCTTCAGGTGAGCTGTTTGACAGTGGAATGGACTATTTTGTAAGGTGGTGGGACTCTCCATCTTCCTTGCAGGACGTTGGACTATATGAGCCTTGGGATACTTTCAGTGATTTTTAAAAAAAATTACGTAAGTTGTGTGTCCTTGTTTCTCAGTCGGATCCTGTTGTATGTTTTGTGGTATTTTATGCACTGTGACTTGCCATTATTTTTATTTATAGCTTACTATAATTATTTACTGTAATTGATGGGTGTAAACTGTTTAATTATTATTTACTGATCTCTAATGTTTCTGTTTGCTATTCGATTCTAATGGCTTATTGAATATTGCTTTAATTTGATACAACTTGTTTATTTTAGAGTTATTGTGACTTTTTTTTTGTATTGGATCAGGTGGTTGTTATTAACGTGTTGGAAGCCACCCAGAGTGGGTGGGGTATAAATATTAAAATTATTACTATTATTATATCCTTTCCAACTCTGCAATTCAGGATGATGCCCCATCTATGCACATAGGAAACTAGATGTGAAGCAAAAGGTTTCCCTGACCTGCTTGGGTGGGGGTTTCTCTTTTTGTCTGGAGCATTCAATTACCTGTCACCTGCAAACTCAGTGAGAACTAGGTCCTTAGGGGCTGCCAGCAACTCACAGCCAACAGTCATACGCCTCTTTTATCTATGGGTTGGCAGGTGCAGGTGGGTGAACCTAATAATTGTCAGCCTGGATTTGGCCCTGAGGCCCACAGGCAGCCCCAGCTATCTGGGGCACGCAGATAGCAGATAGCTGTGTGAGGTACTTGGTCACAGAAACAGCCAGCAGCAATTTCAGTGCTTAGGGGTGGGGAAATCCCGTTAAGGGGGCTCAATGCCACTGGGTTCAACACGTAAGCTGCACAATCTGCTCCGCTGATAGAAGAGGTAGGCAGAAGCTGTCAGAGCTTTGCCATCGTTTTACGATCGCTGTTTGTCACCGCACTGAGTGCTTTGTCTTGTTTGACCTCACAGCAACCCAGTGAGTAATCTGCAACTCCTATTAATATTTTTATAGCGCTAACCATGTGCTTGGATGGGAAGCGAAGGCACACAGAGCTGCATGTGCCACCTCTCTCTGATAGGCAGCCTTTCCCCTCCCCAGCCCCCCAGATGGAAACATGCCAGGCAAGATCCAAGGTCTCAACAAGCCTAGAGCTGGCGATCTGCAGGAGGATGTTGGTCGTCTGTGCCACCAGCCCAGTCTTCCCTAAGGAAGGACAATGTAGACTTCCTCACCCTTGCTTTCTTCTTCTGACCCATCGTTTCAGAACGGTCTGAAGTGGACTTGCCTCTTAACTCCCAACTGCAGTTTGAGACTGAAATATACTCGGAGTCGAGAGTGGATTTAATGCTCTTTATTCAGCTCATAGTGGTGAGGAGGGAATGAAAGTCCCTTCAAAGTATCTGCTTTATATACATTATTTACACAATGGGCTGCACGTGAATGGCTAATTCCGGGATTCTCCTGTAGGCCAATCAGGTTGTGAATTCACTTCCATCTGGAGCTGGATTGGGTGGCTCCTGCAGACCAATCAGACTGCTGCATTGTTCTAGGACCAATCAGACTGCTGCATTCTGAATCCTATTGTTCCAGGACCAGACTGCTGCATTTTGGATCCTATTGTTCTAGGACCAATCAGACTGCTGCATTTTGGATCCTATTCAACTCAGTACATAACAGAGACCATTTATAATTTCTTGCAATATACACCTCTAACTCTCTCTCTCTCAACACACGCACACATGCACACTTAAAAATTGATTGGTGCCAGATTCAGGACAGACCAAAGGATGCCCTGCGTCCAGAAGAGTTCTTCTTTTTGAAGGAAGCGCTAGAGCTCCGTGGCAGCGCACTTGCTTTATACGTAAAGGTCTCAGGTTCAATTTCAGCACCCCCCAGGTAAGGCTGGGAATACTTCTGAAACCCTGGACAGCCATCAGTGCAAACAACGCTGAGCTAGTGTCAGGAGCGAGCCGGCAGTAAATCACACTGTTCAAAGTTGGAGTTAACTCTTCCTTAGCAAGAACACAATCTGCAAAGAGTGTCAGGTCTAATGAGCACACCAACTCATCTCCAGTAGGTCTTGCCCCACAGATTAGTTGCTGAGACTTAAATTCCCCGCTTCCCTATAGCCGTCTAAGTTTCCCCCATTGCATCTGTTTGAAGCTAACTTCTTAGCCCTTTTCATGCCTCTTCTGGTTCTGCAAGACCTGGAGGAGGGGAGTTTGTCACAGCAGCAGGAGGAGGAGACACCTGTGACTCTTCACCAGCCTGACTAATATCAGCCTCTTGGGCTCCCTTTGCTTCAGCTTCTGCTTCCGGACCTCTCTGCCACAGACTTTCCCAGCTCACTAAGCCCTGTTACCTCTTCAGCTTCCAACACCTCCTCCTCCCAGTCTTCTCTCTCTGACCACTCATTGTCATCCAACCCCAAATCCCAGGGCTCCGAGCCTTCTTCCCTTGGGGGCTCCCCAGCTGGTTCCTGTTTGTTGTGGGGGAGGAAGGGAAAGGAGAATGTTACCAGCTTTGAGACTCCTTAAGTAAAGGGTAAAGGGACTCCTGACCATTAGGTCCAGTCGTGACCGACTCTGGGGTTGCGGCGCTCATCTCGCTTTATTGGCCGAGGGAGCCGGCGTACAGCTTCTGGGTCATGTGGCCAGCATGACTAAGCCGCTTCTGGTGAACCAGAGCAGCGCACAGAAACACCATTTACCTTCCCGCCAGAGCGATACCTATTTATCTACTTGCACTGGCGTGCTTTCGAACTGCTAGGTGGGCAGGAGCAGGGACTGAACAACGGGAGCTCACCCCGTCGCGGGGATTCGAACTGCCGACCTTCTGATCAGCAAGTCCTAGGCTCTGTGGTTTAACCCACAGCGCCACCCGCGTCCCTTGAGACTCCTTAGGGTAGTGATAAAGCAGGATATCAATCCAAACTCCTCTTCCTCCTCCTCCTCCCCCTCCCCACCATTCGTCTGCATCTACAACAGTCCACTACAGCCAGATGGACCAAGGGTCTGACTCTGTATAAGGCAAGTTGTGTTCCTATGTTTCCTAAATTGTTCAGGACCTCTCCTTCCCAGTTGATGGCCAACAACTTAAGGCACCCAAAACAGTTGAAAGTCATCTTCTAGCACAGGGGTCGGCAAACTTTTTCAGCAGGGGGCCAGGTCCAATGTCCCTCAGACCTTGTGGGAAGCCAGAATATATTTTGGAGAGAGAAAACGAATGAATTCCTATGCCCCACAAATAACCCAGAGATGCATTTTAAATAAAAGCACACATTCTACTCATGTAAAACACGCTGATTCCAGGACCGTCCATGGGCCGGATTTAGAAGGCGATTGGGCCTTAGTTTGCCTAGCCATGTTCTAGCACAATAAAAAGGAGAGGTAGCAGAAAACACAGCATCTGATGTGAGCAAGCAACCACAAATATGGGGACAGATCACATGTAACGTCCTGATGACATGCACTGTGCATGGGTGGAGAAGAGAATAATGTGAGAGTTTTCTCCTATTAATGTGAGATTTTCCCCTGGGTTCCAGCCATATGCTTTACCGAAAAAATCCAGTTCCTCCCCACACCTTTTCTTCCTCTCCTATTCTTTCGGGGCTGTCACGGCCCTTTCGTTTCACAAACTTCGCTGGAAGTGGGTGGAAGTTACTACGGAACGGAACAACTGCTGAGCAGGGAGCGTTTTTCGTGTCAGCTGCTGGCAGGCTTGTTGAGGGTGACAACTTGTCTCACTGCTTGGGTGGTAGCGGAGAAGCCTGACAACAGAATACTACTGCAATGACTCAGCGTGGGAAGAATGCTAAGAAGACCTGTGGCGGGGGAGATAACTGATTCAACAGCACCACTGGAGAGACAGGCCAACGCTTTGCAGAAAGGGCTGCTTAGTTGTTATTTTTCTACTCGACGTTGTTTTGGCATTTAGAAAAAGGGAAAAAAACATGAGGCTGAACTTGAGCCAGAATTCCTCTGGGCTCAGGCCTCAGAAGTTGCCCAGAGCAGCTGGGGCAACTCAGCCAGATGG